GGTCTCTCTTCCAATTCAGACCTTCAGTGTCTCCATCATTGTATCTGGAGCTTTGCCAAGGCCAAGTTAGTCATTGCTATTCAGCCTCTCCCCACCCCGCCATTATACTGCTCTACATTGATTTTCTGTTTCTTTTTTCTCTGTTTCTTTTTCCCCACTGGATAAGGAGCTCCTTACTGGAAAGCACCATCTCTTATTCATTTTTGAATGTTCAGCTCTTCACAAAGTTTCCAACACAAAATAATGCTCAGTAAATGTTTTGTGAATGAGTGATAACTAAGCAAAAGTAATCTCAAGGCAACTACGAGGATTGCTTTTCACAGTAATGGTTGACAGCTCTCCCAGTCTCTGAATCTAAGTTTTGTGACCCCAGACTGAGAGTGTGACCTATTGTTGGGAAGCCATGGAGTTCTTGTGTGTGTTGTAGATGGAGCTCTGCAGATAAGCTTTCACTTTTCTTCTCCCATCGGCAACTTCTCTTGGGCTGCCAGGATGCTGTTAACTCCTGGACCGAGCTCCATTTCCTGAGATCCACGTAAAACTATAAATGATTCCTGGGAGCCTACGTCACAGGATGTACCCTGTCTCTGTAAATATTTGCTGATCAAAGTGAGACCATGTCCAGGTGAGCACTTGACCTCCTTGTGAAATAAAGTAAAGTAAATAGCCTCAGTTCCTGATGCTATTACCATCCCTATGATGTTAGTATTTTATTCTTGGATCTTGCCACAGAATTGTCCTTTTTTATTAGGAGAAGGAAGTAGATGCTGCTGGTTATAAACCTGGTCACTGCTATCGAAAACTTCCTTGAGATCATAGACATTTTGTAAAGTATTCCAAGAAATGTTCAGTAATAGGAGTTTTATTAGAACTGAGAAGGTGGGCAAAAATAGTCTGGAGACCGCAAGCCAAAGTTTATTTTGACCATTCACCTGCAGCAGCTGACCAAGTTGCCTCCCTCCTCCCCGACACGCCAAGGAGACAGACCTGACATCCACCATAGTGATAGCTTCTGTTTATGAAGCACTTTCAAGTGCCAGCACTTTGTTGGGGGCTAGTGATTTAACAACACGATGATGGTGGCTACCCCACAGGCTGTTTACTTTGTATAATATGCAGGTAGTAAGGACCTTGTATGATTTTCTTTATAGCAGTGACCCAATCTCAAAGGATCATGTGCAGCTTTAAGTCATGTCATGGCTTGATACTTTTCATTTCTGAGGTCTCCTTGTCCCTTTTTTAGGCTCCTCCAATAGGCAAATTTCCCAAGGAAAAAAACAGCTAATGAATAAGCCCTTAGACAGAAAAGGGTCAAGCATCTAAGAAATCCAGCATTTCTAAAAATGATCCCCTTTACATTCAAAAGAAAACTTTTGAAATGATTAGTAAGTTATTTAGAACCTCAATATTCCAAAGTTTGAGAAGCTAACAAACTGAGAAATTTAATTTAGATTTCCTTAACACGGTCTCTCATGATAAGAGAGCATTCAGTATATCAGTATATAAATGCTATGCAACAGAACTGCCAAATTGCAACACAGAATGGGAGAAATTTGTCATTTTGAAATGCTAAGGGAATTCTTACTAACAGCTTTCTCATCTTGTAAAGCTATTATTTTTCTGAACTATAATATGATTTATAAGTCTCAGCTGGTTTTATGCTTTTGATAGGAACAGACTTAAAGTGAAATGCATTTTCTCAGAATATAAAACTCTCTCAGGAGTTGGCCAAATGAGGAATAAAAAGAAACATCTTCTGCAACCAACGGGGCCAAAACCGCGGTCTCTGCTAGCATATCTGCCTGTCTGTGAAGGCCAGTGTTGGTGTCCTCAGAGTTCTGAGTTCAGCGCCCTCTGGCTCCACACACTTTCTCTGAGTGGCATCAACTGTTCTGGACACTCTCACTTCTGCCCGGTGCCCCCACACCCTCACTTCCCACCCCAATGTCTCCCCAAGTCCCCATGTCTTCCTCCCGCTCTGGACATACCACCATCATGCCCTGTGTGTGTTTGTGTGGTGTATGAAGTATGTGTGGTATAGTATGTGTGTATGTGTGTGGTGTGGGGGTTGGGGTCATAAAGTGTGTGTGTGTTGTGGGCTGTGATGTGGTATGTGTGTAGTGCTGTGTAATTTTGGTGTGTGGAATGTGTGTGGAGTGAAGTGTAGTGTGTGTGTGGTAGTGTATGGTATGGTATATGGGGTATGTGTGTGTGGCATGTGGAATGTGGGGTATAGTGTGTATAGTGTGTTGTGTGTGTGTATGTTATAGGATGTGGTGGGGAGTATGTGGTGTGTGTGTTGTGCAGGGATGTGAGGTACAGTGTGTGTGAGGTGGGATATGGTATGGTATGTCGGGGGTGGAATGTGGGGGTGTGGGGTATAGTGTGTGTGGGGTATGCTGTGTGTGTGGGGGGGGTGTTGTATGGTGTGGTGTGTGTGCTGAGGAGTGACAAGGAAGGAAAGAGGAATCCTGTGGACAGCGGCCAAGAGGCATGAGATCGTGAAGACAGATTTAGGATATAGCTCTGGTTCCCCAAATTTTTACAATCTTATTTTGAAAAATTTGTGGAGTGATTTAAATAGGCTAAGCATGATCCTGTCTTTAAACCATAGGTATAATTCATTGTCATTGTTCTATTCACAGCAAGACAAAGAAAATTCAGAGTACTTGTTAACAGATATGAGATAAGGCAGGTGATTGCTGGGAGATTCTGGGAGAGGAAGTGGTTCAGGCAAGGGGGCTGGTGGAGTGGAGAGATGTTTAGACAAGGGACATACACTTCTCAAAGTCTGAAACAAGTGAAGCCCAGGGGGATATTTGGAGAAATTTTGTGAGAAAAATTGAATACCATGGTAAGCATGTATTATATTAAAACAAAATTGGATTTGCATAGGAAAACTATATCCCACAGCCACATCCAAAACTGTTTTTACTCTAGAGCCCAAGTACTCTCTCAGAAGAGCATATCTCATCCACTCACTCCTCAAGACACATTCTTCAAAGCTATTTCCTCAAACTCATTAGCCATCTCTGGGGGCTAATCTCCCCAGCTAATCGCAAACCCCATCTCTGGCTTCCCATTCCCAGGATCTCCAAAGAGTCCATGACCCTCCCACCTCCAGATTTTTCAAAGGATGTCCTCTCCCTTGCTTTTGCTCCCACTTGCCTCGTTACCTCGTTTTCTTTCAAATCTAAGTTCGGCCATCTTTTGTGAAGGGAGCCTTTCCTGACTTGGCCGGAACTCCTCTGTGTCATCCGCCCTCACGCCCCTTGGCCTACTCCGTTGAGGGTTAGTCATGGTTGTGTTAAATGATCAGCTGAAGGTTTAGTTTTCCCCACCCCACTAGAGAATGGGGGTGAATTTCCATTTCTGAGAATGGAAATTGGCCCCACCTGTCTCATTCATGACAGTGTCCTGGCCAGTGTCTGACCACTAGGCAGGCCACCAACAACTACTGAAAAGATTCTAATGGGAAGACAAATCAGGGAAGAGGCTGCTTTGGTTAAAATGAGGATGGAGCCTTTGGGTGAAGCAAAAATGTGGGACCTTGGATTCCTCCCACTTGGTCTTCTCTTTTCTCTCCACGGGGTTCCTGAGGCATTTCTTGACCCTGAGGCTTTCCTCAGTGGAGAACATTCTGGAAGCATTGTGGTAGATGGTGGGATTTTCTGACTAAAAAAGGCTTTGTTGTTTGGCTTTAGGGTGAGAGTGAGTGTTCTCAAGAGCATTCTCTTTGGCCTGAGGAAACTTTCTGCTTGATGGTCAACAGAATGAATGAATGATCAAAGTCACTTTGTGTAGACAGGAAACATATTTCATTCATTTATTTCAACATCTTGTCTCTCTTGGATGGGGAAAGACTGTAAAAGACATCTGTAGGCCGGCCTGAATTTTTTCTTTTGTGCAAGACTGGGTGTAGAGCAGACGTTTCTTTGGAAAGTTATTTTGGCCTAGGCCCAGACCATCGAGAAAACTGCCTCATCCTCTGCAGATCCCAGCACACGTGGACTCCTTCTGAGCCGAGGTCATGTGGCCCAGGGCAGCTCCTGCTACCCTATCACTTGTTCCCAGTGGTCAGCTATACTGGAGTCAAAGGATTCCTTCCTCTATCTATTAAATAGAGCAAATCAAAGTGAAAATTACCTTTGATTGAATAGCATTGCTGAAGAAAATCAATAGAAGTGGCCCAAGATCCATTGGCACCATCTCAATTTTAGGTATTGTAGACGTTCTTATTACTGGAATACCGGGTTTCTGGATTCAACACCTGTAGGGCCTGCTGAAAATCAGCTGCAGCCTGGGTTAAGGGAGAGAAGTGGCCTGTCTGTGCCGTCCTAGATTAAAAAGAAAATATGTGCTGGCCCAACATAAGTCATTTTTCAACCTCAAAATATTCTTTCCAAATCCTAAGATCCTGCATTTGACATGTTTAAGAGAGAGAGATAACAGCTGAAGTCGTCTTTGTTCAGAATGTAGGAGACAGTTCCGTCTAGACTTTCAGGAAAGATATAGAATGACATTTTCAGAACATATCAAAATATATTTTTAAATTCCTTTTTCCCCTTCAGAAAGAGGATTTGACATGCTTCTCTCATTTGAATTTGGTTGATCTATAAATGGCCTCAATGGTTTGATACAAAACTAGAGTAAAATGAGCCATTGAGAAGTTATTGAAAATGCTTAGTTCACCTTCTTACCTTACCAGATATTTGCACCAGCAGCAACACAATAATTAGTACTCATTTATTAAATGGCTTTTAGCTATGTGCTGCTAGACAAAAGAGGTCTTGACATATATTTTCTTATTTTGTCCTCACAGCAATTCCACAAGATAGGATTATTACTAAGCCAATTTTTCAATAAAAGAGTTGAGACACTGAAGGATTGAGGTGACTCACCCAAAGTGGCACAGCTGCAGGTAGCCAAGCAAGGATCTGACTGTCCTCCAAACCTGCCCACCTCACTCAACACTGCCCATGTGTCTGCTTTTCCCACAGGGCCAGCATCGTACAGAAACGCATCATTTATTTTCAAGATGAGGGCTCTCTGACCAAGAAACTTTGTGAACAAGGTAAGAACTGCAGGTGGGGAAGGGCTAGGTAAGTAGTAAGTGTTCCTTTTTATCAAAGTATCCAGCTGTTGGAATCAAGATGATTGAGCTTTCTGGATTCCTGTGTGGCTCTGATTTTTAATCTGGCTGTGTGTTGTGGATAATTAGATCTGCCTTAATCCTTAGTTACTCAGCTTGATTCCCTGGGTAGGAGATGATGTACCTTATATTGGCATCATCTTATTTTTGTAAAACAGTGATTATTCTGAAGAGGTTCCTTGGAATAATTCGTAGGACTAATTAAGGAGAGCACAATGGTGTGCCTTTAAGGACTTTGTAATGGTTCTCTGGAGTAATCACCAGCAGGAACTTATGTGACACCCAGGCAATATCGGGGGATTTTCTCCAGGGAAGACCAGCAGGAGATGGGAATGTCAAGAGGTCATTGACTTAGTGATTTCACTACATTCAAGGAGCTGTTTCTGAGATTGGCAAGCTTATCAACACCACCTCCTGGGGTTGAAGGCATTCTAACAAAACTCAGGGAGGCCAAGTTGGCAGGGGAGGTTGGGGCAGAGGCTGGGATTCAGATCCAGCCTGGGATCAATCCTGCTTTAGTTCTTCCTACCCAGGTGACTTCATATATGTAAACTAGTACCCTGCTTCCCTGGCACATTATATATGATGTGTTTATAGCATACGTATGTGTTTTTATGTGTGTGTTAGCTATTATTATCTATATTTAAACCTTATATCTATAGTTAAAGCTTGTTTATCAATCTGCCATAAAAAATTAAAACCTTAAGCATTTGAATGTACTTAGAAGTCATTAGAGAATAAGAATAGGAAATGTATAATTATACACCCTTATCTAATTTCTATGCATTTTTGTAGAATTTTTATTTGCATTTAAAGCAATTAGTATTTTGAAAAGAAGTAATCCTCTCCAATTCTATCAAATTATAAACTACTAAGATAAACTACAAAGTCTTCTGGGAAAATAATGACAGCCCTTTTTTTAAAAATTATGTATGCATGTATGTATTTAGCTGCATGCCAAGCACTATTCTAAGCATTTCATATGCCTTGCTCATGTAATTTACACAACAACTCTATATGGTGAAGACTATATATCATTCCTATTTTGTAGATGAGAGGCCTGAGGCATGGAAAGTTGAAATACCCCACTCAACATCTTCAAACTAGCAGTAGAGGGCAGGGTTTGGAATTAAATGCCAGTGCCCTTAACCATTGCCTTTCTGTCAAAGGGACTATCTCTCAATTCAGTAACTTGCATTGTTGTCTTTGGCAGATCAAAGTATAATACAGCATAGGTCTTCCGAAAGATGGGTTAGTGGAGAGACCAGGTCCTATGTGGAGATTGCTCGGAAAGTGTGAAAAGAGCAAAAGGGGAGAGAGTAGGATGCCCTGCTTCAGGGTCAGTCCTGCCTTAAGTGTCAGAAAGTAGGAACCCGTGGGCCAGAATCCTAGTCAGCTTCCTGGTGGCCCAGCACACTTGGTTTGGGGGACTTTCTTGTTCTGTATTTAATTGTCCTCAAAGTCACAGCTATTCTCAAACAAGGATCATCTCAAATGTTAAGTCTCTTGGTTCCTCAAGGACAGTCCCATTCTCTCCCTGCCTCCATGATATGATGTTGAGGTTCCCTGAGAAAGAGTGGTGGGTGTTCTGGATCACACATGGACAGGCCACCTCTGGGTCTACACCCACCAATGGCTAATCACAGACAAGGCAATGTGGTTTTATTCGCTTGGCTGTCAAAGGAACAGCCTTGCTTCTCAGATTTCAGGGTTCTTAGGAGACACATCACTGACACTCCCACTTACTGACAGCAATCATTAACTAGTGTCTTTTCCAAAGCCTCAGTCCCAATGTTGTGGGAGTTGTATTTAAGCTACGAATATGTTAAAATGCTGCAGATTTAGTCTCAATAAAATGGCATGTCAAATCTCTGTTGGTTATCACTTCTGAGGCAGAAATCCTATCAAAATGACTAAGCACACATCTGTATAAAAAGACCACTTTTCAATAGCATTGTTGTGGACCAAAAAAGAGGCTCAGCAGGACCTGGGCTGTAGGATCATTAGGTATAATTGTAGATGATCCCTGGAGAGAGCAGAACCATGAGAATATCCATTAACTAGCAAAGCAGATCATGTTAAGGAAGTCTTTAAAACATCTGCAGAGAGCAAAGGAATTTTCCTTAAATATGTATGCCCACTGAATTATCTCTAGTTTTTTCATGAAGATCTTTACATTCTTTGTTTCCTTGGTGAGTCAATTAAACCTATGAAGGAGGGCCTCCCCGGTGGCGCAGCGGTTGAGCGCTGGGTTGCGAACCTGTCCGCGGCCTCTACGGCGCTGGTTCGATCCCCGGCTGCTCCCCGGCCACCAGAGGAGGGTCCCACATGGCGCGCAGACCTCTCCTGCCGCCCGCTGCTCCCCTCAGCAGTGTAGGCATTCTGCCTGCTCTGCTCCCCGCTCTGGCTCTGGTGAATTCTCTCACCCTCCCGTGCTTCTGGCTGTACCCAGTGCATGTGTAAACAAAACAAAATAAATAAATAAATAAATAAATAAATAAATAAATAAATAAATAAACATGCCTCTATAAAAAATAAATAAATAAATAAATAAACCTATGAAGGAGGGGAGACAGAAACTAATATCTATTAATTTTTTCCCAGTTGAAGCTATTAACTCATGGTGGGGGAAAGGACAACTACACAGATAAAAAGCAATAGAATTCATTAATTTTTTAAAAATCATGAAACATTAAGTTACTTACAATTAAAAACAGAGAAGCATAAAATATTCAAATAGGTTACCTATAATAAATATTAGCACACACACATTCACTTTAATACCCGTCACAAATAATTAAGGGAGAGAGAGAGAGAGAGAAAAGGACAAATGAAGGGGAAAATTGGGAAGAAAGGAAAATGTGGGTGAAGAGGGGATAAGACACTGAAGAAAAAGGGAAACAGAATGAAGAATAAAGGACAAAAGTTGGAAAGGAAGCTAATGGGTTAAGAGTAATGGGGAGAGAGTAGCTCAGAAGATGCTGCTTGGCCTGAAGTCGCCTCTATTGGGAAGGCCCTCTGTGTTTGGAAGAGGGGTAAATCACACTTGTTTTTATTGCCTTTTGAAAACTGGATTTGTTTCTATAAGCATTTCCTCAATTTATCTGTGTAGTTGTCCTTTTTTCCCCCTATGAGTTAATTAATAGCTTCAACAGGGAAAAAGTATGTCTGTTTTTATTTTCAAAGTTACAAATTTATTTTGTAAATGGAAATTCCTTTGGCATTCCAATAGGTTTATTACTAGCACATTCCGTTGAACTCCTGAAGATATAACTTTATTTTTTAAAAAGATTTATTTATTTATGCATACAAGAACTGGGGTACAGGCCAGTGGAGTGGGGGTGAGAGAATTCACCAGAGACACAGTGGGGAACAGAACAGGCAGACTGAATGAAATACACTGCTGAGGGGAGCAGCGGGTGAGACAGGAGAGGTCTGCTGTGCCTTGTGCGTAGCTCCCTGCCCAGAGATCTAACTCATGCTGCAGTGCCTGTGGATAGCTTCATAGATTGCATCTTAACCCCTTGCGCCTCCAGGGAGGCTCCTGAAGATATAACTTTAATCTTTAAATTCACCATCCAAAAGCTCTTTGATAGATAAAGCTACCAATTTGCCCTATTTTGGTTCTTTGAGAGATTATTGCTGCTTCATTTAACAGTGCCTGATAGTTACAATGGAAACCCCAGCATGTATCTCTTAGCTCTGAATTCCTTTTTCAAAACTAATTTAGTTTTTTTTACAATATAGTTGATCATCACAGAAATGTAAAAAGAAAAATTCTTTAGGAGTTACTAACATATGTTACCTTTCCTGAAATATATTCAACAGGGTTTTTCCCTTAACTCAGATGACTCACACAGGACGCACATCTGGACTTTGTCCCCCTGAGGCTGTGGGGAACCTCTTCTAAACACAAAGATTTGGCTTCTTCCAAATGTACAAAAAGTAACCAAACAATGATTTCTATTTTGGGTGGTTTCACACCTCCTCTTTGTGGCTGTTCAGAAATTTTGCACCTATATAGGGAGGTGATTTTTTAAATGCACCATTCTTCATCTAAAAAAGCAAAAAGAGAAACTCTCAAAAAAAGTTGTCTCATTGGGGTTTATGCAGACTTACCCAACAGAAGGTATCCCTGGAGTGATATAGGACAGACATTAAGAGTGTGGACTCTGGACTAAAAAAGACCTGAGCTCCAGGTCTGTCTGCATCACTTATAGCTGTGGCCTTGAGCTGGTTACCTAATCGGCCTCAGTTGACTGATCTTTAAAATGGAATTAATTAAGGGATCAGCACATACAAGAACTCTATACACTGTAGCTATTAATCCAGTATCCCATACCTTTGTCTTTCTCTTGAATCCCAGAATTCACTGCTTCCACCTATCCCAGGTATCACGTATTCAAATTAAATGAACCCAGTGTTCTATAGGAGACTTGTAAAATGCTCTTCCTGACACTCAAAAAAAAAATTGTATACTCTTTGTTGCTGTTCTTTGTATAATTTTAAGAATAAATGTCCAGGGGCCTCCCCGGTGGCACAGCGGTTGAGCGCTGGGTTGCGAAGCTGCCCGCAGCCTCCCCAGCACCGGTTCGATCCCCGGCTGCAACCTGGCCACCAGAGGAGGGTCCCACATGGCACGCATGCCACCCGCTGCTCTCCTGCCACCCGCTGCTCCCCTCAGCAGTGTACTTCGGTCCTTCTGCCTGCTCTGCTCCCCACTCTGCCTCTGGTGAATTCTCTCACCCTCCTGTGCTTCTGACTGTACCCAGTGTTTGCAAAAAGAATAAATGTCCAACTTGAAAAAAATAGGCATTTGTGTTGATATTGCCAGGGAACCAAGGAAAAAGCAGTTGAAGCAAGTTGCATCTGTAGTCATTGTTTTCATCTTGCAGGAAGCTGAACAGACTAAAAGCAACAATGCACAGTTAGGGATGTAGGCTTGACACTCAGAAATACTGAATTTATTCATGTAATCTCTCTTTCCCCACTTATCAGCTATTCACAGCTAAAAATGGGGGCAATGCGGGAATCTTGTTGAGTTTTTCCTGGCTGCTTCTATACTCAAAAGTAAACCTGAACTTATGAACATTATTCCCAGACCTCTGCTCCTCCCAGTAAGGTTTCTAAAAGCTTGATAAGACGTGGTGTGACTACATATGCATGGCTTTTTATTTTTCCAGTGGTCCTTTATGTCTCTCTACTTGTTCTCTCTGCTTCCATTCAAAGCCACTCCTTCTTGTCCTGACAATTTGGCCCCAGAGAATCATTCTTAAAGAAAACACACATTTAGTGGAGAATTCTTGTTGCGGGAGGAGTAGGAAAGAAGACTGGACCCAAAAAAGACAATCAAGTAAAATTTAACAATAATATCCCAAGATCACCCCTACCTCAAATATTCTGCCTTACTGGTCTCATAGGTCTCCTCATGTTAAAAGAGCAAAAGTTCTGGATTCCTTTTTCAAATTCAGTTATTATACTTACAGGAATCCAAAACCTGTATAGCCCTAGTAATAACCTGGTTCTCGGTGTTATCAATCAATGAAGTCTGTACCTCATCTTCTTTTCCAGGGCATAAGGGACAGGATGGAACCAAGATGGTGCTGCCTTATAAATAAGCTCCCTAACCTGTTGATTTTTATGATCATTTCAGATTCCACATTTGATGGTGTTACTGACAAACCCATCTTAGACTGCTGTGCCTGTGGAACTGCCAAATACAGACTCACATTTTATGGGAACTGGTCTGAGAAGACACATCCAAAGGATTATCCCCGTGAGTAAAGTAGCTACTTTATGGGTTGGGGGAAAGCACCTTGCAGAGTTCTGCCTGGTTGTGGGGTACTTGCTCTTTTTAATTGATTCATGAACCTGATATTCCAAATCTGTGAGTTCATCAGGGCAGGCAGATATAATAGTGTATGCAGTTAGTTCTTTGCATGGCATCGTTCTAAGTGATCTGTGATTTTAAAAACTGTGCTTAAGGTTGTGGTGCTTATCTTTGCGTCAGACTTTTGGAAACCTCAGTCCTTCTGAAATGTGATACAGCAGGCCTTCTTGTGCTGGAAACAGTTGGCAAAAGAGGCCTGTTCTTGACTGTACAGACCAAGGTCAGGAAATATTCAGCATCCTTAGCCATCCAGGACCACTGGCGTTGTGTCAGCAAACCATGGCCTGCTGGGCAAATCCCGCCTTAGAGTCCCTGACACCATATCCAGATAGCCAATATCAACACACAAGCATCAGCAGATCCTAAATTTCCTTTTATCATATGGTTGTCTCCATAAATATTTACATGTGCCAGGTACTATGCTTAAATCTGGAGAGATAAGAACAAACAACCACAACAAAAAAGACACAGCTCATGTTCTCATGCAACTCAGAGATCAGTGGGGAGACGGACACTAATCAAATAATTACACAAAGGATGTGAAAATCATAACCTTGAATAGTGGACTTACTATGTGAAAGGCATTTTTACATGTTCTGTCATTGAACCTTCAAAATAAACTGGGATTGGGGATGAACTCACTGCAGATCAGAGAGGTAGCATGATTTGCTCACTGCCAAATGTAAGTAGAGGATCCAAGATCCGAAAAGGGGGTGGTCAGAGTCCTGGTCCTGCCTTTTGTTCAGGTTGCCTTTTGGACCCTGCGTTTCCCATTCTCTTTGCTGTGGGTGGCAAGATGTCGTGTGTGGCACTAAGCTTACTTTTTCTGTTCATTGTTTTGTTCTCGTTCACTTCACTTTGGAGTTGCCACAGCTGGGAACAAACAGTGGGGTTACGAGAAAGATGAAGAGGGATGTGGGTCAAGTCCAAAGGAAGAAGGAATAAAGAATGCATGGTTGGGACTTACGAAGACCCAGTCCAGACCAGAACCTCCATGGTTCCCTAACAGCCCACCCAGAGGGGCCGCCAGCATTTCCTGGCAGATCAAGAGCCTAATTGTTTAATTTTACCCACATGTAATCAAGGCTGGCTTGCTTAGAAGCCTCTTTCTGGTTCATTCTTCTGACTCTGGGATTCAGCTTGATCTGCCTCAGCTGGTGTGGAGAGACCTGCGTGAGCAAACTTGGACTCTGCCTATGTGTGTGAGTGGTGGGGGGTGGGGAGGCCCAACCACTTGGAATAAATTTGGAAAAAAATTTTCCTGTAGTTGCTCCCATCCACTAACCCAGAGGAAATAAAATGTTAGGGGCCCATGACTCATTACTAAGAAGCTTCTTGTTCTTTTCTACTCTGACTCTGTTATTTCCCAGAATTCGGAGGGGGGAAAGGTACAGACTATTGTTTTTGGGCCTTTGGGCCAAATCAAGTATAACTCTTTTCAGAATTTCTGTGGAATTGTTGGGAGTTTCTTAATAAATGTAACAGACGTGTTCCAGATCCCCCAAGATGTCAGCTTGCATCCTTAATCTTTGCTTGGAAAAATTTGGTCATGGTGTACAGAAGAGCATTTATCACCATTTGCAGTATTATTTCTTCTGGAGTCTCTCCTCCCCACCAGACAGAGACAAAAGCCACGGCATGCTCTTTTTTGATTTTGCACACCTGGAGGTTCCTGGTTCCTTACTGAGTACTGCATAATGACTGTTGGACTCTGAGTAGCATTCACCATGACCTGGGAGGCAGATTTCCAGCCCATATCTGGCCCAGATGGCCAACACAAAGCGGGGAGTGGGGCCAGATGTTCCTTGGAGGAAAAGGGTAGATTTGTACTCTTGGAGCACTGGGGCCACATGGAGAGGCAGAAAGAGGGTCTAACCAGGACCTTGAAACTTGTCTTCAAAAGTGATTTCTACCAGTCTTACATGATAGATGACTTTCTTTTTTCCACTTCAGGGATGATTTTGTCTTAATAATGATTTTGCCATTAAGCCCCAATGCTTCCAGACCACAGCACAAACTGATAAATGCCAAGTCCCCTCTCCTTATTAATTACTCACTCAAAATAACACTTTCTCCACAAGGATCTCAGAGCAGCAATTCTCAGGCCTTTAAATTTCAAGTCCCTTTTTTTGCACCTAAAAATTATGGAGAATGCCAGCATACTTTTGTTCATATGTGTTGTGTTGCTTGATATCTGTCACATCAAAAATTAAAGCATAAACCTAAAAATATTACTAATTTTTCAAAATAACATAATGAAATAAAAATAATAAACTCACATTTAGACATATTTTTGAAGATAATTAGATTGTCCAAAACAAAAGAAATTTAGTGAAAAGAGCATCACTGTTTTACAGTTTAGCAAATATATTTAATGTCTGGCTCAATGGAAGACATCTGGATTCTTATATTTGCCTCTGCATTCAACCTGTTGTGGAATTTTTTTGTTTGTTTAAGTATATGGAGAAATATGATTGGAGAAGGGAAGATACTTTAATAATGTTTTCATATTTAATAGTATACCAAAACTCTACAAATAATACCTTCCTAAAGGATAACTATAAAATATGAATCCATGTCAGTGAGCTGCACTGCTTTATCTTGCAACTCAAATGAATCTTTTACAAATGAATCATTTTATAACAACATACATACATCATTTAGAATATAGGCTTACTGAATTATGCAGATGATTCTAGTATTGAGACATTTCATATACATTAATACCACCAATCTCATCAGAAAAGTATTCAATATTGGAAAACTGTCAAACTCACAGCAATGGATGCAAGTTTTCCAAAATTCAAAGTTTTGATTGAAGTGAAAATTTCATCATTGGCAACAGATCCTGTCTGTTATTTTCCTTGAAGTGACAGGCTTCCTTCATTTTTGAGAAATGGTATGTCACATCCTCAAGTCTGAATAACGTAATTTGTGTGTCATTTGTTCTTTCAAGTAAAAACAATGTTTTATTACAAAAAATATCCAGTCCAGCTTGTACGTCAAACAATTGCACAAGTGCATTCATAGTACTTCAGTTATAGTACAGTTATAGCAGAAGTACTTTATGCATATTTTCCAATTAGCCACACATAATAATAAAAAGATGTGCACTCAAAGGTGGAGATTTAATAAAACTAATAATTTTTATTATTTCAAGGTCATTTTTAGGTGAAACTGTATTGGGTGTTGTTTACCTCATTGAGGAACATACTGACAACACAGTTTAAGGGCCCTGCCTTGATCTGAACTAAGTGCCAACAGTTCTACTCACCAGGATTTTTGCACCATTAGCATTATTATCGACATAAATGGCAACTGAATTCTTAGTATAATTATGGAAATGTCTTCACCACACACTGTTGAAAGAGGCTCAGAATCCCACTGAACGTTCTTTGAGAACACTTGTAGTAGGATAGGACTGCAACTTAAAGTGTCTGCCCTTGAGTTCTCTATCGGCAAATTGCCCTTGAGAATTCACATTGGACTTTGCAAGGAGGGCCTGTTAGGGGGAAAGGATGTCCTGAGATAATCTCATACAGGCTTTGTGGACTCCACCCCCACTCCAGACTAAAGCCATCAGGACATTGGGAAAGACAAATCCCATCACCACCAAGGGGAGGGTGGCTGGGACCTGAGGGTGGAGTTGGGCAGCCAGGTTGGATATAAAAACCAAACACGTGGGCTTGCTCGCTCTCTGGCTCGCGATCGCTCGCCTCCTGGCTTCACCGCTCCTGGCTGGCGGCCAGCTCTCAGAGCGCCATTTTGGGATTCCTGATCGGCGGATCGGGTAGGACGCATTTAAAACTTTGTCTCCCACTTTTCTCCCAGAGCTGTACATTTCCTCATTTCCCTTTCCGTTGTAAATAAACCTTTTATTAACCTTTCACGTGTGCCTGCAGTAGAGCATTGATAAGTCCTTTTAAGCGCGCGGGTGAGGACCCACAGTCAGGCACCCCGTTTTGTATCGGGGTTGCTCTACAACAGGCCCAGCAAGACCCTGTACTTTCAGCCTTCTCTAGAGTGGTGGGTCACATCTGCAGGAGAGTCTTCTCAACCATTATGCAAAATGGTTTGTCCCAAATACTTTTTCTAAGGGCCCCTCTTTTAGAGAACAGTGCACTCTTTGCATCCCTGACACCCCTCTCTCTAGGAGGAGCTAAGCGGGTGAGATAAGAAAGGCAGAAGGATGGCCTCAATGACCTCTGGCATTCCCTTTCCTTTGTAATGCATATATCCCCGCTGGCCATCTGGAAACAGTGAAATCCTTTAAAAACACTCCCAATGTAGCAATTCCTAGAAATCCATTTTGAGGCTGGATCATGCAAGTTTTACCTCCTAATTATATAAATGAAAAAAACTGAGTACAAAGAAGTCAAAGGCTCAGATCATAGAGCCAGAGCATCAGAACCAAAATCAAAGCTCAGGTCTCTTGATTCCTTTTGCCTTCCTCTGGGGCCTGTCACAAAAGTCTTCTCTGTAATAAAATTAAATATCTTATACACAAAGTGTCTTTTAATAAAAGACCTGTTGTCCCAACATAAGCTTAACAGATACCAAATTCTGAACAGCTTGTCCCCACTCTACAAAGACCTGCTTTGCAGAGATCATAACTTAGAAGTTACAATGAGAAAGTCTGGATTAGGAGCCTGAATCAGGTCTGGAGTCCTAGGGCATTAGAGTGCCAGTTCCCAGTGTCTATCCTGGGCACTGCCAGTTTGTGGTGCCCAGCAGCAATCCAGGAGCATGTGTTCTACACAGGAAGAGCGTGGCGGGTCAGTGTTCCCATACAGGGATGTTCCAGGGGTTGGGTCCATGCCCAGTCGGCCAGGGGATTGGGAGTTGCCTGACAGATGCTGAGTTTTCTTTACCCTGTAGCACTGAAT